GGTCTGGAAATGCAACCGGAACCTTAAAAAACCGACGATGGACCATGAAATTACATATATATCCTCAAAAATCACAGTCAACAAACGGTCAAATAGACAGAGGATCAAATTGTGTTAAAATTACAAAGTTAAGGACTTAATTGGGTGAAATTGAAAGTTGAGGACCAATTTGTGAATTTAGCTATAGTCGAGGGACCATTTTGGGTATTTACTCTTTAATTATTTCACTATTATTTGAACCTGTGATGTGTATTCTTTTATTTACTTGTACTTGATTAGTCACTATCTGAACATGTTCTAAAGGTTCAAAAAATTTCGAGTACTCAAAAATACCAACCAATATCATCTCATTTTTCAATTATTTCACTATTATTTGAACCTGTGATGTGTATTCTTTTATTTACTTGAACTTGATTTGCCACTATCCAAACATGTTCTATTAGGGTTGAGAAAAATTCGAGTACTACAAAATACCCGACCAATGTCATCCCTAATTATCATATACTATCAATTATGGAGTAAACAGAAATGAACAGTGAAAATTTGTGGTTGGAATATAATTTCCAGAAAGTCAAAGGTTGTTACTTTCAAAAACCCCGGTGGAGTGAAGGTGAAATTATCCAAATTGAAGGTGCCAAAAGTTGAATCCCCAGGATGCTGACATTGAAGATAAGCAGAGGCCCCCCCAGGGTTAACCACAACACACAACCCCAACCAAAACTCACTTGCTTTCTCTCTTGAACCTCCATTTTCTTGCAATGGAGAGAGTAGCAACACTCTCCTCATCAGTGTCCGCCCTTGGGTTTTCTTCATCTGCAGGGACAACTCAGCGCAAGAAAACCTTTGCAACAAGGTACTGTTTAATTTTTCTCAGTTGGGTAACTAGTTGCAGCATCACAATTTTAATGTATTTTGAGATTGAAAGTTTGATACATTTTTTTTTGTGCCAAAGATTGAGTCTTTGATTATTATTAATATTATTTTGTTGAGACTGTTGAAATATAGCAGAAGAATTGGGCTATGTTTCTGGAACCTTGCTGCATTTTCTGGATTGGAATGTTCGCTAAGGAAAATGAATGTTTTGGAGATTCTATTCTAATCCTTGAAGGGTTGGGAATAGACAATTGGCTATTTGTTAAACAGTGACTTATCACTCAGAGCTTTACATTTCTAAGAATGCCTGAATTTGACTATTCCAGGGTTTTGCATTTGATTATTGATCATTTTTCCAATTTGTTATGTAATACTAAACGGGAAACAATTGAATTCTGAAATCATTGTTAGGAATTTGTATGTCCACATTAGCAAGAGAAGAGGCCATAAAACTATTTATTATTTTGGGGAAGAGCTTGTAAATGCCAACTACTTGTATAGTTCATGACATTATGCCTCTTGCTTAATGGACTTCTATTGTTGCATTGCATCTTAGAAATATAGAATATTATGGATATTCTTATTTTTTCTCATCTCTCCAGCTTTGATTTGCTTAATGAAGCATGAACCTTATTCTTGTTCATAATTGTTATATATCTGACAATGTCTTGTTATTGTTCCATGTCAGCAACCTAAGGTCTAATTTCATTGGTGATGCTAGTGGAATCCGTTTCTTTAAGCTCACCATTGCTCGCAACAACTTTGTAAGGAAAACGGTGGAATGCAAGGAATCAAGAATTGGTAAGCAACCAATTCCAGTGCCTTCCAATGTGACAATCAAAATGGAAGGACAAGATTTCAAAGTTAAAGGTCCTCTAGGAGAGTTGGGTATTACTTATCCACGAGAGGTAAAGCTAGAGAAGGAGGAATCGGGAGTGCTTAGGGTCAGAAAGGCTATGGAGACGAGACGGGCTAACGAGATGCATGGTTTATTCAGGTATCAACCACTTTAATTGCATCTTTCTTATTATTTATTGGTTTTATTGTTAACTCTTTGAGCAGCAGATGTTATTAGCATTTTATGTATTTTGGCTATTTAAAGTGAACTTTTTGGGTTCAATTGTACAGTAAATGTCTGGATAGTTTAGCTAGTGTGTGTATGTTCAGGTAGAGAACCAGGATTCAGGAGTTCTTAAATGATTTATAGTTTGCATTATAGATTTCCAATAATCTGTGAAGTGTGAACCCCAGGCATTATCACATCATATAGATTTTTTTTTTCCCAGATCTAGGAACCATTTCTTGTCAGTTGAAGTGTGGTGCATTTATAAATATATTTTTATTCCAGTAGCTGAAAGGTTAGAAATAGGACCAACCGAAAGTTTTTCTTCAGCAAGTTTAACCTTAAACCTACCGGGTTCTTGAATTTATACACAAGCAGGTAGTCATAAGGTGAAATGTCCCAGTCATTTTGTTTATCCTCCATCAGGTTTGAATTCAAAAGCTATCTCTTATCTTGAATTTGAACCGAGTATGACACTAGTAAGATGATAATTTTCAGGATTTTAGTCTTGGTTTATACTTAAAATCGAGGAGCCGGGATAAGAAGTCTATTGGCTGTGAATTCTGAGCATAGCATTTTACTTTAGTTACAATTTTGGTGCTTTTATCTGACACTGAAAATTCTGAAAGGACCCAAGTGGAGCATATAAATCAAAGTGAAAGTGAAGTTAGTTTTTAAAGTTTCAAGTAGGTAAACTTGCAGACTGATAGGCCTAGTGTTACATGCCATGAGTTAGGCCCAAAAAAATAACTGGTAATTCAACTCAAATAGTTGTATCCATCAATAGATCATCCCACTAAGAGGCTTGACCCAAAAGTGATAAATCACAATTGATAACTAAGGATAATCTTCGGATGAGGATAAGTGTCATCCTTGTATAGTGGCAAAATTAATGATATTGGTTGACCCCAACTCATTCTTGATCTTTAGGCTTAGATGGAGCACTATGTAAAGGGGGCAGTTCTTTATTATAAGGTATATCAGTATTTACACACATATATCCTACTCCATAATCATTTTTCATTCAAAGTAATGGCTTGAGCTCTGGAGCTATTTATGATACTCCATTGTTTATAGTTAATAGATAAATAATGTGTATTTTTGGTGACTTATTGAATTGAATCACATAGACTGAATGCTAAATGAGTGAATGATTAGCGTTATGTAGCACTTATCATTTATTCATCCAAGAAAGAGATCATTTATTCTTAGTCACTGTTGATCCTTGTTATCCAATTATCCAACTATAGTATGACCTTTTCTACTTCATGATTATAGACTTGCATATTCTCTGAGGTTGATCTTCATGGGTTGAATTGCTATTGGTCATTTGTTACCGTGAATACGATGCCTTTTTTTTTTTTTTTTGCCGTTACCGTGAATTAGTGGCATATCACTTTATAGATATGTATATTGTCAAATGAAACTGTAGTAGAATTAAAATGATATATACATCAATGTTGCTATAATGATACTAGTGTGTAGAAAATAAAACTAAAAAACAGAGCTCATGCAATAACGTATATATATTAAATGAACCTGAAGTGTAATTAAAATGATACTTCAGTGTTATTATAATGAAACTAGTGTGTCTGAAAAATGAAACCAAAGTGTGTCCAATAGTTCATGGTTGTAATGGTATGGAATGCCCAAATATTTAGGGCTCATTCCGACATTGTTAATGACAGTCTTCCACTTTCCATTGCCAGGACCCTCACCGACAACATGATTGTAGGCGTATCTAAGGGGTTTGACAAGAAACTGCAGTTGGTTGGTGTAGGGTACCGTGCGATGGTTGAAGGCAAAGATATAGTTCTTAATCTCGGATTCTCTCATCCGGTTCGGATGGCAATCCCTGATGGCTTGCAGGTTAAGGTTGAAGAGAACACTAGAATCACTGTGAGTGGATACGATAAATCTGCCATCGGTCAGTTTGCTGCCTCGATTAGGAAATGGAGGCCTCCGGAGCCGTATAAAGGTAAGGGTGTGAAGTATGCCGATGAAGTTATTAGAAGAAAGGAGGGTAAAGCTGGAAAGAAGAAGTGATAACTTACCTGTCATTGTTAGTTGTTTTCCCTTGTTCAATGTATGTATATCATGTGATGTGCATTAACAACACCCTCAATTTTTGACTTTGGTTAGTGTACAACAAAACTCATTCTTCTTCCTTCTCTTCTTGCTATCTATCTATCTGCAACTAAATTTTCTTGTATTAAGATGCTGATCCCTTTACTTTAGACTAATTGTGGGTTTAACATGTCATTCATTCCCTTTGGAACCCAAATTTTTATCTTGATGAAGCCCACAGCTTTTTGGTGAAGTTCTTCTCCCAAAGTTAGGATGGACATATATATATATATATATATATATATATATATATATATATATATATGGTTAGAGATGACTATATCCACTGTTCGATTCCCCTATATATATATATATATATATATATATATATATATATATATATATAGTTAGAGATGACTATATCCACTGTTCGATTCCCCTTTGTAATATCAAAACTCTTCTTTGCCTCCCTCCCACCCACATGATAAGTGTACATTTTGAAAACTTAACTCACATATACTTTTAAGTTGTCATCGTAAATACTTAGTAATGAGGTATAAACTAAATGCACAAAAGAAAGGCAGGATTTTGCGTGAATAGTTTTCAAAAAACCTAGAGGGTTGTGGTTCTAAATGTGAATGCAGGATTCAATATAATAAGCATCGAAAGAAAGGGAACTGTGGGGGGATTGCTAGGGATGACAAAGGAGAGTGGATATCTAGTTTCATGTGTAAGTTTGATGCACTGTAAAATAGTGGGTGAAGTTCAGATTTTGCGTGAATAGTTGTCAAAAAACCTAGAAAAGTATAAATCTTAAAATGCAACAAAGTTTGGGTAACGCCACAACTGACTGGAGATGCGGGGGATCGAACCCCGTGCCTCTCGCATGCAAAGCGAGCGCTCTACCATTTGAGCTACATCCCCAACGCGAAAAGTTCTTTTATACAAATATTTGTATCGTTTATAATTGTTGAACAAGGAAGAGGAAAAAAATCGGAAGCTACTCTATCAGAGCCAGGTTTCGATCCTGGGACCTGCGGGTTATGGGCCCACCACGCTTCCGCTGCGCCACTCTGATTTGTTGATTCTAGCTACTTATTACTATATTTATTCATTATGTTTTTCAGCGAGGCTAAAAACATAACCCATTCCCTCAACCACAGCCACCATCCTTATTATCGCCTAAACACAATGACGGTACTTTAATGCATCTCACTCTTATATAAATCTTGTTATTGTGGAGTAATTAGGAACATTGATTAAATAGAGAAAACTATAGCCTATAGGAAATCATTTTTTATTTTTTTAAAAGTTTGTTAATTCTCATAACTTAAATTATTTGTATCAAAGGAACGTGATTTGGGTGGGTTTAGAAGCATCAGAATCTTTATGCTTTTTAACAAAAATGCTTCAAACATGAGGACAATTAACTAATGCTTAAAAATGAATTTTTGGAAGCTAACAAGAAACAAGAAAAAATTTAATCTACTGTCCACCATGTTTTACGTTGCATTGTTAACGTAGGTGCAAAATAATATTCAAATTATATGTTTGAAGTTCACATATTATGTGTTTGTAAATAAATTGAAGGCACATAATATGTTAACTTCAAACACATAATTTGTTAATAGCAGACACATATTATGCTACATATTATGTGTCTGCAGTTAACACATTGCTGGAAATTATGAAATTTCCGACCACCTGAAAGTGATCTTATATCAAATCGAAAGCAAAGAGTTGTCGGAAATAGCAACAAAGGTTTTTCCGAATACTAAAAGTGATCGGAACAAGACTTTCGACTTGATTTAAGATCATTTTCTGGTGGTCAGAAATCCAATAATTTTCAGCAATGACATATTATTCGTTTGTAATTACCATATTATGTGTTTGTAGTTAACATAATATGTAATTTCAATTTATTTACAAACAAATAATATGTTAACTACAGATACATAATTTTTGGACCAGGATCTACGATATAAGTTGAATCCTAGTCCATGGTATAACAATTGGCATGATCCGAGCGTTGGATTCGTATTCATAATATCAGAACTCTTCTTTCCCATTGTAAATACTTACTAATTTCAATCTTATAAATAAATAAATTAATTAAAACTAATGAAGTACAAACTAAATGCACAAAAGAAAGAGTTAATATCCAAAATGGTCATCGACTATGATGGTTTTTCTCGATTTCGTCCTAAACGATTTTTGTGACCTAATTTAGCCCTAAACTTGTGTGTTTTTGCTCAATGTAGTTCTCCATTTACATTTCTATCCATGTGCGGTTAAATCCAAGGGTAATTTGGTAATTGCAAAATTATCTCCTCTTTCACCCATGTTGTTTACTAGCTACTTGCCAATTTCTTTCTACCATTTTCGCATATTACCAATTGATGGAGGAATTGTACCTTGAAATTCATTGTTAGATAATCCCAAATATACCGGGTTAGAAAAAATAAAACCCATAAGAGTGAGGAGTTCTCCATAGATTTCATTCACGGAGAAATTGAGTCAAGATAGGTTTCCAAACCAATGGTCAGAATGCATAACAAATGAGCCTGTGAAAGATTTTAATTGTCCTAGATAGAGAACAGACCCGTTAGGGTAGTTGAATTCATGAATTGAATGCATCTTTGATTTTCAAATGCGCAACTCTCTCTTCATCCAAGCAGCTAAAACTTCCATAATCTTGAAGTCCTACTAGCAAGCAACCTAATGATTCAACGTCCATAAATTTAAGAGGTAAAGATTCTACATAGCTTAAATAATGTGTACTACTTGATGGATTTAATTAACTCAGGTGGACCAAATTAATAAACCCGATAAATAAAGGATAATGTAAATAGATAAACGAAATAGGCAAAACAAGTGTTGTAGGGTTACGAAAACCAAATGTTATATTAATAATGGAGTTGTCAAGCTATTACAATGGTGTTGCAATGCTATTACAATAGTAGTTTACAACAAAAACGATAGAACATGTCTTAATGAGACAATAGTGAGGCTTTTTATACATGATGCGCCCCCTAACCACCCCTAATTCGGTGGGATGGTTGCATCTCCGCGTTGACTGTGCCCGGACCTGAGACTGGGCTCCTAGCTTGATTGGCTGAGGCCTCTTGGCTGAGACCTTGGGCCGAGGCCTATTGGCTGAAACCTTGGGCCGAAGCCTATTGGCCGAGACCTTGGGCCGAGGCCGGGGCTCAACCTTGGGGCCCCGGGTACGCTCTATACCTTCTTGCTCCGTCTATTCGGGTCAGTTTGCTCCGATTATAATATATCCATCATCAGTCCCCCACTCTTCGAGCTGCGATAAGTCGTCAGTGAAGGAGAGTAGATATCCTGACCCGTCTTTCGTGCGCAAATATCCCGATCGAACTAGGCCGACCGCACTTGAGTATAATTTCATCGCGAATGGACTCATTTTCCTGCGAAATCTCTTCTACATGTGGTAGAATCCCAATAAAAATATTATTCTTCCCTATAAAAGTATTGAAAACACCACCAAATCACATCCATCAATTCCCATCATTTCCCCATCAATTCCAAGCAATTTTTCCCCTATCCCAATACCTTTTTTGAATTTCAAAAGGTGGTCAACCCTAAAAAAAAGTGGTTAACCCTCCCCCCCCCCCCCCCCCCCATTTTCCCCCCTCTTTCTTCCCATTTCCCTATTTTTAACCCCATTCCCCTCCATTCGGCCACACTACTCCAAGATTCCACCAAAAATTATCTCAAGCTTCTTCCAAGGTCAAGAGCTCTCTCCTGAGTCCCCCGAGCCGAGTCTTAAATTCGAGCCCGGTTAGTTTCTTCCCTCCCCCTCTTTTTTACATGTTCGGCCTCCGTCGGTTTTTTTCAAACTATTCCTCCCACGGCCGAGAGGCCTCCTCCCCCACTCTCCTTGTTCATTCTTCGTGTTTGCATGCACTTTATCTTTGACCTTGATATTTTGGGTTCCATTAGTGATAGTGAGGTTGTCATGGACGTTGTTACCCCCCCTAAGCGAGTCCCCCCCCCCCCCCAAACCGAGGTTACCGAAGTCCACAAGGACCCCATAAACGCCCCTCATCTCCAAATTGTGGAACCCGAACAGAGCTTAGATTTTGATCCCTCTGTGGTCTACACCGAACTCGAGTTGAACATTCCTCGTTCTAACTGCTCACACCTCACGGCCCGCCAATTGGAAAAAAAACCATCAAAATAGTGGAGTCGGGTGTCGAGGTGGTAGCACCCTCCCCGGGTAGCAACGTGACCGAGCCCCCGGGGAACAACTTTTTTGGCATCCACATCCTCTCTTTGTCCTACGGTCTTCGTTTTGCCCTCCATCATTTTGTCTTGACCCTCCTTAACCATTACGAGATTAGCCCGGGTCAATTAGTCCAGAATTCTTATTATATGCTTCTAGCTTTCCTTCTACGGTGTAGGGAGATTCATGTCACCCCCTACTTGGACTTATTCAACTATCTCTTCCAAGTTACAGGTTCTTTGGCCTCCGCAAGCAAGGGGTACGTGACCTTCTCAGCCCGTCCTCGTATGAAAACCCTCCAAGACATACATTCTTCAAACAAGCATTGGAAGCCCGCATTTGTGTTCATTTCCGCTATGCCGGTGCTCCCCTTCGTATCTCTTTGGAACAATTGTTTCCGCAAACACAAAACCCCCGAGCCTACTCCTCTTTGCTAGATGATGTTCATGCCTTCTGCCATCCGGGTCTCGTACTCTATATAGAGCCCATGCTAAGCGTGGAGAGCATAGCGGGCTTGGGCTTCACACCCGGCACACCTCTTCTGCCACCACTGCCCGGGCCCCGCACGACCTCGCCCGAGCCCATCTGTGACAACCCAAATATTTAATCCCAAATTTCTATTTAATAAAGTTTCAAAATAAATTTTTTTTTTCTACAATGATTTATTTCCTAAAATTTTGAGTCAAAAGTCTATTTGAGACGAAATTGCCATTATCATTTTAAGTCTAAAATGTTCTAAGCCCAATTTATTTAATTCCTGAGCCCAATTGATTTCTATTTCCTCAAATCTATAAAAATTAGTTAAGCCCAAATTATTTGAAACTCATTTATTAAGCCCAAAGAGTATATTTTATTGTTCTTGAACCCAATACCTTAGCCCAACTTCCTAAAGATAGCCTAGCCCAAACCCAACACTCTATATTTCAACCCTAAGCCCAACTTAGAAATATAAATATATTGTATGGATAATGGATGAGCTATTTCTTCTTCTGGAGACACCAAACAACCCCTGTCCGCCTCTCAGCTCATTTCTCTCTTCGCGTCTCTCTTTCTCAGTTTCTCTTTTCCAGACAACAACAACAATACTAACACATTCAACCTAGCAACCACAAACGCCCTCTTCTCCGAGTCGGTCAGAGCTAAACAGAGGGCAGTGGTGGTAGCTCCTTCCATGTACTTCTGTAACACCCCATTTTTTATAAATCTTAATTACAATTCTAAACCACAATTAACATAATCTAAGCAGCAGATAAACAACTTAATAAGAAAATTTGTGGGAATGTCACTGCCATAACCACCACTCCGTAGTGATAGGCTAAGGGTGGAACTAGAACTAAAGATAGAATAACTAACATCCATAGAACTTAGTCAAAAGTCATAAGGGGAAAAGATACCCCGATGTCTACATCATCAATCAACATCAAAACAACATAAGTCTAAAATCCGATAAATAACATCATAATCAAACATTAAGAGTTTAGACTTCTATAACTACTAGACTAGTCTAACTCGACCACTTCTCAACGCTGGGTCCACCTGAAAGGGGTTTTACAAACAACATATAGACAAATAGGAAAACACATGTTAGCTCGAAGCTAAGTATAACCACACTCAACCCTGTAAAGTACTATAGAGTATACTTTGAAAAACATTTGATAACATTCATAATCAACAATCTCATCACATAGGCAACTATAGTTACATCACAACCTTTCTATATGCTTGCAACCTATAATATCAACATGCATGCTTCAAATACAAATAACTCATCAACATAAGTCTACCAACACATATATCTCATAACAAATCTCAACATAACTAACTCATGCTATCAAATTCTCATTAGGCAAAACTGGACATAAAAAGACTTCAGAATGCACCAGGCAATCATACTCATAAACAACTCGGTTAATCATTCTCATTATGCAAACTCATGCAATACTATACTCATATGCAACTCGTGCAAGTACTATACTCAAATGCAATCTCGTGCAACATTCTCTTTATGCAAACATGTGCTATCTATAAGTATACTCATACACTCGCTTGTAAAATAAAATATTGTTCTATGGAGGTTTCTTAGAGCCATAAGGACTCTCTTGCTTTCTTTCTTAGAGTCGCAATGACTCACTTTCTTTCTTTCTTTCTTTCTTTCTTTCTTTCTTAGAGTCGCAATGACTCGTTTTCTTTGCAAATGGACGAGGTAGGAACTTCACCGTATCGTGAACGAACCTATCCGAGCACGACGTCTAGCCGGCCTAATACTCATCTCGTCCACCGAACCACTCTCTTGGTTCTATGCTCAGACTTTGTGGAATCAGGTATCGAACTTTTAGCGTGCACACCCCCTGACCAGGATTCCAAGCCTGGCGAGCAGTTTCCAACCTCGTAACGTGGGAATACACCGCGTTACATGTACTGGGACCGCAATGTCCATAACAATTCATCCGAGAGGACATAGTCCAAACGGGTCCTCCAAAACAAGGTTTCATCACCATAGATATATATAGATATATCGCTCATGCATTTTGTAAATGCAATGTAACACCCCACTTTTCTAACTCTTAATCACAACTCTAAACAGTCATTAACATAAACTAAGCAGCGGAAATAATACTAAAAAGATAACTAGTGGGAATGTCACCGCCACAACCACCACTCCGTGATGATTGAACAGGCTAAGGGTAAAACTAGAGATAAGATAAAAATTTGGCATCCAAATAAAATATTGGAAACATAAGGGGGGGAAACGTCACCCCAAAAGTCTACATCATCTTCAAGAACATAGAGTCAATAAGTCTAAAATCCATAACATGATCATCAATAAAACTAGAGTTTAGACATCTCAAACTAAGAGACTAATCTAACTCGATCTCTTCTCATTGCTGGGCCCACCTGAAAGGGGTTTTGCAAGCAACACATAGGCAAATAGAAAAAACACCCGTTAGCACGAAGCTAAGTATAACCACACTCAACCCTGTAAAGCATTCTAGCATTTACTTTGAAAACATTTGATTTCTCTTGGAAACAACAAACTTATCTCTAATCATCTTTAGATCTATCACATACTTTCTAAATGCTTGCAACCTATAATATCAACTAGCATGCTTATATACATTTAAGACTGAACACTTAGATACTTCAACATATAAACACTTCAATTACATTAACAAGCAACTCATGCTTACGGATAGGATCATACTAATAAACCATATAACAGGTACTTTATGCTCTCACATTCTCATCACATAAACTTGATATACAAGGCTTCAAATATAACAAAATAATCATGCTCGTTGAACAATCTTAAATCAATATTCTCATTATGTAATCTCATGCGATATTCTACTCAAATGCAATCTTGTGCAACACTATTCATCATACTCATATGCAATCTTGTGCAACACTATTCATCATACTCATATGCAATCTCGTGCAATACTATAATCATACTCATATGCAATCTCGTGCAATACTATAATCATACTCATATGCAATCTCGTGCAAGACTATAATCATATGCAATCATGTGCAGTTCTATATTCATATGCAATCTCGTGCAATACTATATACATACTCATATGCAATCTCGTGCAACAATATACTCATAATCTTATGCAATCTCGTGCAATACTATAACATACTCATATGCAATCTCGTGCAAGACTATAAACATACTCATATGCAATCTCGTGCAACAATATACTCATACTCATATGCAATCTTGCGCAACAATATACTCATACTCATATGCAATCTCGTGCAATACTATAAACATACTCATATGCAATCTCGTGCAACAATATACTCATACTCATATGCAATCTCGTGCAATAATATACTCATACTCATATGCAATCTCGTGCAATAATATATATATACTCAATCACTCATTATAAAAATAGAGTACTTTCTGTGGAGGTCTCTTTCTTACTTTTGAGTCTCTCTTGACTTGCTTTCTTTCTCTTGAGTTTCTCTTGACTCACTTTCTTTCTCTTGAGTTTCTCTTGACTCACTTTCTTTCTCTTGAGTCTCTCTTGACTCCCTTTCTTTCTCTTGAGTCTCTCTTGACTCACTTTCTTTCTCTTGAGTCTCTCTTGACTCACTTTCTTTCTTTTACTCGTAGATGGCTTAGGGTTTCACCAATGCGTGTATTACCCCATCGGGAACGACATAAATCCGACCCAATATCTCATACCGTCTACGGAACCAATCTCGTGGTTCTATCTCTATGGAATCAGGAATCGAATTATTAGTGTGCACACCCCCTAACCAGGATTCCAAGCCTGGTGGGCAGTTTCCAACCTTGTAACGTGGGAATACGCCACGTTACATATACTGGGACCGCAATGTCCATAAATATCTCCCGAGAGGACATAGTCCAAACGGTATCCTCCAAAACCACACCGATATAGATAATACATAAATATATCTCTCACGCATCAATCTCATGCATGCAACGACTCTACTACTTCTCAATGCATCAAAGAATGATATACCACATGCTTATGGTTTTTTGAAAGTATTCTTGGGCTCACGTTGGCCACTTATGCATTTTTGAAATATGACACATGTGAAATGTCAAAATGCTCTATAACATGCTTCTAAATCATGTATAAAATATCATGAAACACTTAAGAATATAACGTCATGCTTGGTTTGCAACATAACAAATTCTATACATTCTATCAACAAAATATGCTTCATTTCTCATTGATCAAATATCACAATCTAGTCATGCTTTCATAATAAATCATATTCACAAATGATCATGCTTCTGTACTCAATAAAAACATCATCAGATCACATAGTCAAATAATTCTTCATACACAGTAAACTAGCAAATATATACTCTGTGTAGCAATTCTTCAATAAAACCTTCATAACATACTCGTTTTTAATCCAAATTCAACGAAATCAAAGCCAAAACGTGCGTCGAGACGGTCCCGAAGAGCCGAGCCACAAGGGCCCGTAACACTCAGCTCGAAACAACACGTAGTTGAGCCACAAGGGCCCGACCACTGCACAAAATCTCCTCAGAATCAAAGTCAGGGACCTGGGGCGGGACTCCTTATGGTCCGCCCCATGTACCCCGCTACTCCACCGGGACTAGGTGGTGGCCCTCCTCTAGGGCCGTGCCCTAGTCCCGTGCAACAACGGCTCTAGCCGGCGGCCTTCCTGATGGGCCGTTAGTCTGATCTGGTGCACACTGTGTACACCAGAAGGCTTTCTCATCTGCAAAACTCAATCCAAACAAGTCCAAAACAATCTCAACAACTCACAAACAAGTACTAGATCACTTCTAAGCATAAACACAACAAAATCTCATAGATTCTACTCAATACTAAGGCTTCACAGAGCCAAATTTCAAGAAGGAATCCATGGGGTTATACCTCTTGTAGTTTTTTCTCTTGTAGCTTGGTTTCCACCTTCTTCCTTAGCTAGCTACAACCTCCTTCACCTTCTAAACATCTCAACAAACCACACAACCAACTTAAACTAGGATCTCAAAGAATGATGAAATCTAGAAGGGAGAATGAGTGGATGGAGATGAAGGTTGAAAACTTACTGTGATTCCTTGGTGTTCTTACAGGGGAGGGAGCTCAATGGTGGAAACAAAGAGGCTAAGTCTGATAAATGCTCAATATATAGGAGCACAAAACCCTAGGATGATCTCTTATGATTCGTGGATGGAAAAGTGGTAAATAGTTAGGCTAGAAGATGGAATTAGACAAGTTTTGGATAGTTTGTGATCTACCATGCTTCATGGACCATGGGCTAGAATTGCTAACTTTAAATACTTTGGGGTTGAAAATGAATTTTCTCAAAAAGCTATTTAGATGAACCCTTGTTTAAAGTCTTTTTGAATTCTCCCGGTCTCACTCAGATAAATTTCTCGATTTAAAACTTGGTACGCGAAGTACCCAAAAATTTAGGAATTTCGAATAAAATAAGTTTTGGTGTCGAATTAACTTGAAATACGACAAAAATAATTTATTCAAACACCAATTGATCGCAAAAAAATTTAATGGAGTGAAAATGGCTATTTTGAAATTTCTTAATATCGGATTTATAAAATAAAATTTTGGGTTGTTACATGCAATACATAAATTATGCAAAAGACATGCACATACTTCTCAATTTAATCTCAAAGATAAGATAAAGATGCTCTACGTGGAATGAGGTTTTCTTTGAAAAATAATACTGAGGCTCACGTTGGCCACTTATGCACTTTTGAAACATGATATGCATGGAATGCCAAATACTAAACCACATGCTACCAAAACATATAAATAGATCATAAAGGTCTCAAGAATAAAATATCATGCTCGGTTTGTAACACATCAAATTTTATATATTTCTAACATCAAATTATACTCCAAATCCCACTGATCAAGCAACACACTCTAATCATGCTCTTCTAAAAATATTACTCTCAAAGTGATCATGCTTCTCTACTCAATACTTAAATAATCATCATGGCAACAAAGCAAGGTATTTTCTCTTTCACAGTGAATTTCCACATACATACTGTGAAGCAAAAACATCAATAAATCCTTCATAACATGCTCATTTCTAATCCAAATTCAACGAAATCAAAGCCAAAACGTGCGTCGAGTCGACCCCGAGGTACCGAGCCACAAGGGCCCGTGACACCTGGCCCGAAACGACACGTAGCTGAGCCACAAGGGCTCGGCCACTGCACAGAACATACTCAGAACATACTCAGGGACCTGGGGGCGAGGCTCCTCATGAGCCGCTCCTTAAGGCCGTAGCAAAGCCGTGCCTAGGCAACGGGCCTCTCCTAGGGCCGTGCCCTAGGCCCGGTTGGCCCCGGCTCTAGCCGGTCGCCCCCTTGATGGGCCGCGGCTAGGGCCGTTACAATAGTCTGGTGCACACTGTGTGTGCACTAGATAGGTTTTTTCATCTGCAAATTCAATCCCAAACAAGTCCAACATATCCAAAACATTATCAACACATCATAAACAAGTAATAGGACACTTCCTAGCTAAAACACAACAAGAATCTACCATTTCTACTCAAAAAAATAGGCTTCACACATCCAAAGATCAAAGAGGGAGTCCATGGGGTTATACCTCTTCTTGTTCTTCCTCCTTGTGTGGATTCCTTCATCTTCCCACTCAACCACTACCCCCTTCACCACCTAAATACCTCAAACAAACCAAACAACAAAACTTAGGGATAGAATCTCAGAGATGAAAGCTAGGAGATGGAAGGAAGCTGATGAAGAGAAGAATGAATGGATGAGAATAGAGCCTAGGAAACTTACTATGTTTTCTCTTCTTTGTTGGCAGAGCTCAAGGTTGGGGAAAACAAAGAATGGAATCAGTAGAAGAGGTGAGCTTACTATTTATTTTATATGGGTTCAAAACCCTAGGATGATACTCAATGATTGGTGGAGGGTAAGATGGTAATTTTGGTGGTTGTTCTAGAATTATCAAACAAAGGATAAAGGTTTTTGGTCCACCTTGCAACATGGACCATAGACTAGAAAGGAGTTTATAAATAGTTTGGGGTTCAAAATGTATTTTTCTAAAAATAATTTCCAAACAAACACTTGGTTCATAATTCTTCCGGTCTCACTCAAATTGGTTTCTTAATTTAAAACTTGGTACGCGAAGTACCCGAAAATGTAGGATTTTGGATTTAGAATAAATTTTGGTGTTGAATTAATTTAAAATGTTTCCAAAATAATTTATTCAAACACCAATCAATCGCAAAAATTTTTAAATGGAGTGAAAATGGCTATTTTGGAATTTCTTAAAATTGGATTTATAAAATAAAATTTTGGGTTGTTACAACTTCGTCCAGTGACCTTTCCTCCGGCGAGAAGCAGCAGATCCGGCAGCAGGTGGCGACCTCCTCCGTTTCCCGGTGAAGCATCGCGATAAGGCAGAGCAGGCGGCGGCCTAGCTTCGTTTTCCAGCGACCTTGCTCCAGAGACGGAGGCACCGACCTCCCCTCTTCCCGTCAAGGCAGAAACGACAATGGGGTCTCCGGCAGTGAATCTTTTCCGGCAGCGTCGGTTTGGCCGCGAAGCTTGGAATCCTTGAGGTGAGATGTTGGTCTTGTTGAAACTTATGTGATAAAGAAAGTTTATTAAGTTATTATTGATGTAAAGGTGAAAGTTATGGTTGATGAGGATGGTGATGTCGGCAGTACTATGTTTATGCTAACAGAAAAGATTATGGGATAATTCGGGTTGTTAATGAAGAGAGAATGGACTAATGATGATTTAATGATGGGTTAATAATGAAGATGATGATTTAATGATGGGTTAATAATGAAGATGATGATTTAATGATGGGTTAATCATTAATCTAAATTATTTGGTAATTACAAAATGAATGAGGTGGTGTGGTGTAGTGGTTAAGATATGGAGAAGGTTTCAAGTTCAATCAAATCTGAATGTTAACACTTTATATTGTTGGACTATTAATGATGGAGATGTCACGATTTAATGATGGTTGTTTTGATTATGGATATTATAAGTTAATGATTGGGTAATGATGTTGTTAGTAAATAAGTCAATGTTAAGTGAAGTAGTGAAGGAGTTATGGTTTATTAATGACAAGACATAGTTATGCTACAATTGTTAATACTAGTATGTTAACGAAAGAGGATCGGTTGATCTACAGGTTTTTTGTTAAAGTGGCTAGCTCGGGAGTGAGCTCAAGAATCGAATACGTAGCTTTGGAGCTCGGTTAAAGGTATAACCCCATGGACTCCCACTTTTAAGTTTTGGGTCTGTGAAGCCTTGTTTCATAGGTAGAAATGAGTAGAAATGTTAGATTTTTGAGGTGTTTGAGCTATGAAGTGATCTATTACTTGTCTATGATGTGTTGTTATTGTTTTAGATGTGTTGGAATTATATGAGGTTGATTTGTAGATGAGAAGAGATCATCTGGTGCACAGGCAGTGTGCACCAGACAAGGCACCGGCCCCAGCCAAGGGCCCAACAAGGGGACCGTTGGCTAGAGCCGTGGCCATCCGGGCCTAGGGAACGACCCTAGGAGAGGGTCGTTGCTTAGAGCCGGCAAGCTAGCGGCTTGAGGGGCGGGCCTTGCTGAGCCCCGCCCCATGGTCCGTGAGATTCTCCTGTGCAGTGACCGGGCCCTTGTGGCTCAGCTACGTGTCATTTCAGACCAGGTGTCACGGACCCTTCGTTACCTCGGGACGTCTTGACGCACATTTGTGCTTTGATTTTGTTGAATTTGGATTAGAAATGACCTTGTTATAGTAGAATTTGTGATGAAATGCTTCACAGAATTGTTGTCTGAGTTCTCTGTTTTGGGATTTTGCTTATCTTTGCCTTCCTGATGACATTTGAGTAGTTGCATAGAGAAGCATGAACATTTTGTGAATGAGATTTGTTAGAGAAGCATGACTAGAATGTGTTTTATGATAAATGGAAATTATAGTCTCTTATTATTGTGAAAGTATACGGAGTATGATATGATGCAAACCAAGCATGATTGTGTGTTCTTGAGAGTTCACTGTTGTGACAACCCAAAATTTTATTTTATAAATTCGGTTTTAAGAAATTCCTAAAGAGCCATTTTTCACTCTATAAAAAAATTTTGCGATGAAATCGGTGTTTGAATAAATTATTTTGAACCACTTTTAAGTAAATTCAACACAGGGACTTATTTTAAATCTGAAATCCTAGATTTTCGGGTACATTGCGTACCAAGTTTTCGATCCAAAAGTCAATCTGAGTGAAATCAGAAAGGAACGTGTGAAACCTGAACCAAGTGTTTTAATTAGAACTATCTTTTAGAAAATCTATTTTTGACCCCAAGTTTTTCAAAAATTATCTTT